TTCAAGATTTTCTGATTGAATAAAGTCGATTCGCCATTCAACAGATTGAATGCCCTTTTAAACTTTATACTGTATTATATAAGAAGCCTAGTTAGGGATATGACAGTTGCATGTCCTGCAGAACAGTTAAATACATCATATATATGGAAATTGAAAAAATACTAGATACTACTAGCACAGCACTTTACTCTGTAGTCTAACAGTTTTATTCTGAAATCATCTTGCAGTGAAGAAGAAAAAATTAGAGTAAAGTTGTAGAGGAATGTGATGCAGTAAATCTAATGGCGTCAACCACTCGAGTGAGTTCGGCGCTTTTTTCATCTGGAAGAGAGCGGATGACTGGTTTTCGAAATGCGGAAATGGCGATCTTCAAGGTGGAATGTTCATTAGTAGTCATTTCATCAGGGCTCTGATAAGTCTAGAAAAACCAATTATTGGTTAGATGGCCAACACCAACCAGGAATTATATAAGGTCTTATTCCCTTTTTCTTTGAATGAAGTAGTCTATATTTCCGATTTTTCTTCTGATATTTCACATTAAACGTACATACGACATAGATTCAAAATTTACATTGGTGAATGAAAAAAAATGGAACATTAAAGTACTGCACCTAATCCTGTTCAGTTCAGTGATGAGTAGTCGAAACTAATTATTATAGCTTCGATAAAATAAATTATCAGTTGTGATACAGTATACGATTGTGTATTTTCACATAAAAGCCTGTAAAGTTGAAATGTCTTTGCCGAAATGCCCTTATGAAGAGGCGCAGCGCTCTGCTACGACTGGTCACCTGTAGCGGGGGGACCAGTTGAACACCGGCCAAATCCAAGATGCACTCACGGAAGCACCCTTCATTACCCACATGGAACCATGAATGATTCAATTGTGAATGGTAGAAAGGTTTGAAATATTGCGACGCGCTATTGAGGTGCGTAAGCGAGCACTTCCCTTTGCGATAAAATATGCTGTAAGAGTATGCATAGAAGTTGTATGCCTTCCAAGGAGCTACGGCGAGATAGTTCGTTAGTTTCAACTAACAGCTCAAAATACCATGTGG